GTGAGAGAATTACTTGAAAACCATTGAAAACAATTGAAAACGCCCAGAGGAATCACCTCCCGGCAACGACTAGGCCTTCGTTGCTTGCCAGGTTGCGGCGCGTGGCCGCACCAGCTCGGGTCAGCGCAGTGGCTTGGAGCAAAACAGTGAGAATCCGGGTCCTCCCGGCACTGGTGTGGATTCAAGAATTCTTATGAGTCTTTCCATGTCTTTAGGAATGGAAGCTTTCAACAAGAGTTTACCTCATGAAGCTCGTATGACAGAATTTTGCATCCGTTAGATCAGACTCTTTATCGAAGCACCCCATTGATCCTTCAAAGATCTAGCTTGTCACACCATATCAAAGCCTGTCTTCAGCGATCTCCTTTCAACATCGGCGATGTAACATGCTTCTTGGCTTCGACATCATGCTGCTTCACTCCAGCACATGCAATTGCAGTTTGCCAGACTTGAACTGGCCGAGTGCTGTAGGGTATAAACTTGGTAGTTGGCAGGGCGGTGGACATATGACTCTCCTAGAAGCCTCCAATGGTGATCCTGGTGTGATATTTTTAGCGCCTGGAATAGGAGTTTCCACATGATGTTTCCACATGTGTCCAAATCACTCCCTCTGGATGACAAGCACAGACCGGTTTTTCTTCTCGACCGGCTCAGCCGGAGACCCATCCCAAGGGCTCGCAAGCCAGCGAGTACTTTGGCATCCTCCATGTTGGGACTGCGGGATCCAGGGATCGGCGGAAGCGTTGGAAGCAACGATCACAAGCTGTTCAGGGCCGGGAACAGATGGGTCAGGAAGAATCCAGGATTCCAGGATGAATGTCTCACAACATGGCTCTCTCCACCCCAAGTGTTTCAGGCCACTTCCCATTCTTTGCAAATGATGGACCAGAGTTGCAAGAAACAAAAGCAGGATGGTCAGTTGGAGCCAAACCTCCTCCCCACTGTCCGGTTGGGGTGATGTCTCCCCTTCACCCGCAGGAATCCACCGCAAGAGTTTGAGGTGGTCTTCGACACAGGCCGGTGTGCGGCGGAGTGTGGGGAGAATTAGCTGGGATGTTGCGAAGTGGTTGGTCATCCCTTCTCCAAAGCGATTTGTTCAGTCTGTTTTTTCTATATAATTTGCACATGCTTGCTGCTGTGCACTTCCCTGTTACTGTTCTAGAGGACAGAAGCATCAGGTGTACTTGAGTTTGCTCACGAAATCGAAGCATCAAATTTACTTTCGCTTCTTTGCAATGTGTGTCCTTGCTCCTTCTCACATCGCGAGTGCATAGCATCCTCTCGGTACTGGGGCCCCCTGGGGCCCGGCGTTTTCTTCCGCTCGCTGACACGGAGGTAGCGGCAACTTGCTCATTCCTTCCAGTACTTGTCAAAGTGATGTGAGGGAGCTCAGCTGAATGTGATTACTTGGCGAAGTACTCGTTGTAGATTGGTTGTGAAGTCGGTGACAGGACCCAGCAACTTCAATCTTCCCAAAATGGTCTTTACTTAATTGACAACGGTTGTAATTTGCTGATAAGAAAAAGGCCAGTCCTGTTGATTGTCTGTTGCTGGGATGATTCCACCCCTTGAGCTTGGTTGTTGGGTATTGCTTGGCTGAATTGGACAGTTATCACAGGTTCAACAAATACCTTCGTCAGGCAACATGTGCATTGTATGTAGTCCCACTATGAGCTTTGGGGGAGCTTTCGGGAACGATTGCAACGGGCTTGACTCTAAGGTCAGCACCAGAGATCACAGCACTTGACGGTTCTTCAGAAATAACTCCAGTTCCCCAAAGTCATTTCAGCGTGCGCCACCAACGCCTCCCATTCCGCGTTGTCCCGAGGCCTGCCAAATGCATCGGCGTTTCAATCGCTCATTGTCCCGTGCGGCAATCCGAGTGGACGGTGCCGAGCGGTGGACGTGGCAATTCTGAGATCATCTCACGTCGAGTGGACGTCATGGGTGGAGGTTATTAAGGTTTGTTGAAAAAGAACTGATTTGTCTGACTGTGCCTCAGATGCATGGCATTTTCTGAGAGTCTGACCTTTTCAATTCTTCGCTGCCGACCTGGGAAACTGGGACGAAGTTGGTCGCCGAAGAGCCATGAGAAAAGAGGTTATATCCTGCAATCCCCAACTTTATGGACCGCTATTCCATTAGTTGTGAGCTGACCGGCAGTTCCACTAGCCTTCATCTTAAGCCCGTGTGACATTGGACTTGTTGCCTGTCAATTCCAGCGTGGCTAGGGGTCGCTGATAGAGGACACTCCAGCAAGGTTTGGGTGTTCAATTGATCGATGACTTTGCTTGCGCCGTGTCCAACATCACACCAGCGCTGCTGTCTTTGTGAGGAGGTGTTTGACTTCATGGAAATCAAACGGTTGGCGAAATCAAATCGTGGAAAGAAGAAAACCTGCAGCCAAATCAATGTTCCAACGTTCAATCCAGGCACAAGCAGATCATGGAACCTACACATATCTACATGTAAGGAGTGGTTGGCATTCAATACAGGTCAGCTCTAAAGGAATGTGATTACTGATTACTGTACTTGTTCCAGACTACACCCCTTGCTGACACACGAAAGCGTGACAGTCATACCTGATGCATGAAATGGACTGAAATGGACTGTGCGCACGCACACGGACGATTTGACAAATGCAAACTCTGCAGCATTCAATCATAGGACTTCATGCACAACCTTTTTGTGCCATTCCAAGAGGTTCAACGGAAGATGACATTTTGAAAGACACAAACATCGCGTGCAACAAAACGTGCGCCGCGCGCTGGAGCAATGGTGAAGAGGAGAAGCCCGAACATGTGCAAAGTCATTCCAGTTTCAAAACATGTTGCAGGTGATGCCGGGACAGATTCCTTTTTCGGGGACCAGACAAGAATTGGTAATCTTTTCGTGCTTTGCTGTGCGTCCATCAGCAGTGTTTAATCTCTTTGCTGTGTATATAGGCCAAATGAAACCCGACTCCGAGACTCCCTTTTCTGATGATGTAGTTGAACTGCTCATGGCAAGACATGGAGCCAGCCCACATCACACTTAACTTGCAGCTAGTTGCTTAGTTGCTCCTAGTAGTGATGCCAGGAGCCCCGAATAGCTTCTTGTTCCTAACTAGTAGTAAGGCCAGGAGCCCCTAGTAGCGTCCTTGACCCTATCCTGTGGGCACAATCCAATAGATTTGGTCATATTCTGGAAGTGATTGAAGCTTGATGCATGTATCATGCATGCTCGGGTCGGGGAATGGTACCACTGTGACTAAAGGAATCCTGCACTAGTTACTAGGCGACATAAGGACAACCACGTTCTTTTTTTAACGGTGTTCTGGAGCTTCCGGATGGCATCCTGAACCACATGCACCACTAGGACATACTAGGCACCCAAGTTTTTCTTCTTGAAGGTTCCAAAGTATTTTCACCTCCTTCCCCTTCGAATTCCGCTGTCGAGACGGATGTCACTTCACTCGGTCGAAATCCCAGCGTCCAAAGCTGTTTAGCTGCGATAAATGGGCCGTCCCAAACGGGCAACGCGAAACGGAGTATCCGTGATTCGACCGCGGCTGATCCATATGGACAAACTTCATTCCTGAAGTAGACACCTCATCCAGAATATGCAATCCATAAGAATATGCATCTCAGCAGGTATCGTCCATGAACGCCGCAGGACTGCACAATTGAAGCTGGGCCGCTGCACATCCAAGACGCCGCTGGCCACTTGGTGCCGGTCCGTTCGACTGAGTCGCAAAGCGACCGAACGGAGGGTGCTCGTGTAGCTGCTTTCTCCCGGCCTTTACGGACGGAGTGGGAAGAGGACTGTATGGCTTTTCAGTAAAATAGGATACCAAATTATATAGTCGGTGTTTGGTCTATCTATTAGTCAGAGTTGCAAGGTTTAAGAGATTAGATCATACTCAGAATTCTAATTTGTTTTTAGAGACGTACTCCGGGCTGAAAGCAGATTGTTTGATGTCCACACTCTGGAGCTTCTAAGATCTGTAAAGGAGGGCAACCTTGAGAAAACCTTTGGATAGGAGCAAGGACGCTACTAGGGGCTCCTGGCCTTACTACTAGGAACAAGAAGCTATTAGGGGCTCCTGGCATCGCTACCAGGAGCAACTAAGTAGGTAGAAGTATTTGTCATTCTTTGCATTCAAATCCAGGGCCCAGTGCGTAGCGGTGCCTGGTGTTCTTCTGTCCAGTCTGCATATGCGTGATTCTTCACACGCAAACAACCACAACCGATGACTCACTGTGTGTCCTAATAGGGAGAACCCTGGGAAGAGGACAAATAGTAGGCAACCAATGCATTGGTTGGGGGGGGTAACTAGAAACTCGAAGACTAAAGGTTTGCACTTCCAGTCAACCAAACTGTCACTTTTGTAGCACTATGTCGCACTCTCAATTCTTACTTGTTGTCCTTGATCCGTTTTGTGTCTTTAGGCGAACCTGAGTCCGCTAACTGGGCTGAGGGCGTGCAATTGATTTGCGTAATTTGTCCATGCATGATTGTTTGAAACATGATCCTTGCCCACTGCCAGGTGAAGCGAGACTTGTGGCCCTACTTGCCCGACTGGATTGCACTCTACGCCGAACGAGGAGAGACCGAGTGATGTTCAGTGTCCAAGGTCCAAGGCTGGCTTTGTCCTTGACCTTTGTTTCCCTTCTGGGCGTGTGTGGTGGGGGCATACCCCAAAAGGCTTTTAGCCAGATTCTGACTGGACAAGATCTCCCTTTTTGAGCTTTAAAATGTACTGTAGATCGTGCCGCTCTTGATTTGGCCGTGCAGGAGAGGGAAGATCAGCAATTACAGTATCATCGTAGTACAATGAAGACCGTTTTTAGTGATGTTGGCGATCAAGGACGCCATCAGCAAGCAATCCATTCGCACTCCTCGCGTTGGAAGACTCAGTCTATGCGAGGCGTTTGTCTTGCAATAAAATCAAAAGCCACCACCCTCCTCCTTTTCCCGGGTGCTGCTCACTGCTCAAGCCCTGCAGAGCGCCAGGCTCGATGCCTAAATGTTGGGAAGGTCATCGCTTGTGTCGCGAATCATGCAGGACCTGTTTTTGTCGGCATACGCTGGTCGAGGATCTGGGTGTCCTTGTTTAACGGCGTCTTAAGCTTCGAGTCGGCGGAAATGGACTGAGAATCGGTGGACTCCGTTTTCTTTTTGCCTCACTCCCAAAGACCAGCAAGGCGACCAGGAAAAGCACATAAAAGCACCAGTTTCACTAGGCGGGTCTGTCATACCTTTTGAATCCCGTATGGTGTTAGTACTAGTGTGTCATTGCTCATATGAAGTAAGATGTCGTTGAGTCGCTGATAAGGGACCGTTTGAGCCATTTGGAAGACGATTCTCAAGCTGGTAGGTGGCGCTACAAGTTCGTTATATAGGACTCTCTCAGGTGCGATCCTTTGTCAGGAAGCGACACCCGGAGTGCACCTACTGCGAAGCGCCTGCTGCGCTCCAATCCCCTGTGCTGGTCTGCCGCCAGTGCAGCTGGGCGGTGGATTGCACTTGTCGAAACTCAGTACCAATCTACAAACCTTGCGGTCACTGTGTACAAGTTAAGGCATTCTTCTCCACCTTGTTTTATATATACACACAGATGTGTACAATTGTATACACATGTTTAAGATTATTTGAGTAGATTGATGACAAGGGTCTGTGGATTCATGGTCTAGGCGGTGAAACTTAGGATTTCCACAAAAACGTATAAGGTTAGACAAGATAGTCCTCCATTTGTGACACTGACAAGACTGACAAGCAGACTTGGTTGGAGAGGTGCTTCCTCGGTCTCGGCAATTGTTTCCAGGAAGATGGGTGGTTTCTGATCATTGTCCTCCAGAAACAATGATCATGACATGGGTAGACCAGATCAATGATGCGCTGGTCATCCCTGGTCTACCTTGTGGGCAAGATTGATGATCGCCCATCCCATAGACCAACTCCACGACTGGGAGCCACCTGGGAACTGTGTGATATTCCGGTTGGTCGGTTCTGTTGGTGCCTCATCACTATATGGATATCTATGGAGTAGTCTATGGAGTGGTTTGGTTCGTTGTCTCACCCAAAAGAGATACGACTTGCAGATTCCCAATCCATTGCAATCAACCAAAGAGATGGCATCCGATGGTCTTCGTCCATCAACCCACCGAACAGACTCAAACGAGAAACAGCGCTGTATATAAATTGTGAAAGTTGAGTTTGCTCTTCGGTGTTGGGCAGGCGGAGGAACATGGTTGTTCATGTTCGCTTGGATCAAGGCCTGAAGCCATTTCGTGCTGCGCCTTAGGTGAAAACGGCGCGCTGGCAGACGCTCTTGCTAGTGCGTCTACAGTGGCACCGGAGCCTATCTCGATCTGGGCATTGCACTCCGCCTTTGCTTGCTTTGCTTCGCCTCGCTTTGCCTCGTTTCCCCTCGTCTTCGTGGCCTTCAAGCTAAGCTTCTGGGCTGCTCCACACGACCTCGAGCCAGATGCTCTGGACTTCGTGGTCGGTGCCAACCTTTTGAGAATAACTAGATTCTCTTGTTTGTGGACACCTTTTTCTTGAACCACTTCACTGTGCCCTTGCCGCCGAGCAGTGCCTTGTTGGAGTGACCTTTGGGGGTACATAGACCCTCCTTTTGCTTTGGGCCCTACCATCGTTGCGCAACTTCACTTTCGGTCTAAGACCACCTTTTCTTTGGAGAGCTTCAGAACTTGCGGAGCTCCTTGAACACCTTGCAGCAGCCTCACTTTTGTTTTTGGCCATCTTGGCCGTGAAGATGACTTCAGCCGAAGAATCCGGCACCAGCTCTTGGTACCGGGTGCCGACGTGGTCGGGCAACCCGGCGGAATGGCGACAGTTCCGCCGGGAGATGAACTGGTGGATGGCTTCGCTGGATGAAGAATCCTGCAAGAAGTTCAATGTTGCCGCCCGATGGGCACTTAGACAATATGGTGTGGTCAGGGCTCGTTGTGAAGAATTCGATCCCCAGGATCTTGAAGGGACCAAGGAAGAAGCCATGACCGATCCTGACACCGGCGACAAGGTGATTCGGGTTGCTGCAGACCCTTTTGCTGGCCTCAAGAAACTCATGACTGCCTTGGAGGCCACGGTTGGGAAGACAGCTTTGGATAGAAAGGGAGAACTCCGATCCCTTTACTATCAAGAAATCAAACGCAGCCCTGGAGAGAGAATCTCAGCATTTTGCACGAGATTCCGGACCCTTGCAGCTGAGCTCAAGCGGGAAGGCATAGTGATGCCGGAGGAGGAGTTAGGCTGGATGTTGAAAGAACGTTTGGGACTGGATGCAATCAGGAAGCAGTTGTTGGAGACAGCATTGGCAGGTCGGGAGAACTATGATGTGGTCGAATCAGAATGCCTTCGTCTGTTTCGAGATTTGCACTCCTCCGACCCTTTGAACAAGAGCAGACCTTTTGAAAAGGCACCACTACTCCAGCGTTTCCTACAGTCTCATGACAGACACAGCTCCTCTTCGTCCTACAGGCCTTCGACTACAGCCAGCTCGACGGCTCCCTCTTCTCGCTCCTTCCGGACTCAGAGCTCTGGTTCCAGCCGGCCACCTTTCAAGCGTTTTGGCCAGCAGCCTCAACCTCGACAAGCCTTGATTGCCGAGGCCCCTGAAGAGGAAGGCCAGATGGAGGCGGAAGATGAAGAGCTGATTCCAGACGATGATGGTCAGGGTTACTCTCCTGAGAACCCGACGATCGAAGAAGTCCTCCAGACCGAAGCTGAGCTTCTTGCCCAAGAGCTGCAGGAGCTCGAGACTGAAGGTTGCGACCCTCAAGTGCTTGAAGATTTGGAGAGCGGCATGGAACAGGCCGCAGAGAGTCTGTTGACCATGCGTGAAGCACGCACCAAAATAGCTGAGGTCAAGAAAGACCGTGGATATGGAAAGCCTGGCCAACCGGCTCCTCGTTCGACGAAGCCCCATGGCAATCAAGTCCCTCGCCAAAAGAGCACTACAAAGTGCTTCGACTGTGGTGAGATGGGACACTGGGCTGGTGATGCAGGCTGCAAGGCCCCTGGTGCTGGCCTGGCTCGACCCAAAGGAAAGCCTAAGAGCCAGATGACGAAGCAGGTCCGTGTCACCGAGACCCTGAACACTGAACATGTGGCTCCTGAAGAACCTGATGACATGGGCCACGAGGTCATGACAGTGGCCGCCGGCGATTCATGGGATCGCCCATTGTTCGAAGTCCTCATGCAACACCATACCGACCCCAAGAGCACTCCACGTCTCGCACAAGACAAGAGATTCGTTGGAGCTTTGGATAGTGCTTGCAATAGAACATGTGCAGGTTCCTCATGGTTGGCCTTCTACCTCCAAGCCCTCGAACGTGCTCCTTCCTATATCCAGAACCTCATCATCACCACCCCCGAGAATGAGTTGTTCAGGTTTGGAAATGGTGGTACCCAAAGAAGCACCGTGAGGTACAGACTCCCTATGGCCCTGGGTTCGACTTTGGTTTTGGTGTGGGTGTCAATAGTGCCAGTGCCATCGTTGGGACTCCTTTTGGGAAGAGACTTTTTGAGCGCTATCGGTGCGGTCCTTTCGTTCGGCCGCAAGCTACTGAGAGCTGACTTGGTGGGTGGCGAACTTTTGGAGTTGGGTCAGCTGGCCGCAGGCCACTTCGCCCTTCCACTCCAGCCACGCCAATGGCCTCGTCCGGACTCCCAACGCTGGCGGAAACTTGGACAAGACGGCATAGTTGAACTTCAGTTGAACAGTTTTGATTTTTGGAAGAAACAGTTGCAATTGAAGATGAGTCATTTTGAAGTGCCTTTTGAGTCAACCTCCGAAGCACCGCATGAGCACCTTGTGACAGAGCATGCGATCCTTGCTGCGACATCGGCCGGGGCTCAAGCTATGAAGGTGGCTCAAACACGTCCTTCAGCCCCGACGACATCCTCTTCGACGACCTTTCGAGACCTCGCAGGATCTGTGGATCGTAATGGAAGCGGCCCAGCACTTCGACTTCGACCTGACCGAGAACGACTACACGAAGGTGGTGCTGCGCTGGCGGCGAATGCTTCTCCGCCTTCGCGCAAAGGCCGCTTGGCACGCACATGGCTTGCTCTTGTGGCTGTTGCCTCGTCCGCAGCTGCGGTACGCGCCCTTTCCGTACCCCAGCATCAGCCATACCAGACATTGGCAAGAACAAGCCGAATCTATGACCCTCCAGAAGCCAAAGGCATTGATGGTCAAGCACTGGCAGCGAGCTCGAACCCAAGAACCGTCAGTGTACACGACCAAGAACCTCCTGGACTTGGGACAATTCAGGAACCGTGCTGGCCTCAACTTCGCCTTCATGGAGGACAACATGTTGCAAGGAATGCTTGCGGCGCGCGCCAGCAAAGGCCTGACGGCCCAATTGAAGCGGGATGCCATTCAGGAAGCCCAACTCGAAGCCGAGGCCGCTACCAAGCGTGGAGAGAAGCACGACATGGTGCGCTCCCTCATCGGCCCAAAGGGAGGCCTGCCAACGTTGAAGGCAGACCTGGTGAAACTGGCTTCACTCCTGAACATCCCCGTCCAGGCTGGAATGACTGTGGAAGATCTCAAGAAAGCTTGCCGCCCCTTGGTTGCCGAGATTGCTCAAAAGCCAACTCCCTCGAAGGCAAGTGGATCTACCAGTTCAACGGAAAGACATGTCCCCGAGACGTCAATGGCGAGACCTTCTCAAGCGCCCGAGACAATTGGCGCAAAGGCCAAGGCATCTCCTGGAGTGACCGCTCAAGAGCTACAGGAAGTCCTCACCATGCAGGACCACAAGTTCCAAGGGATGCTGAACCAAGTGCTCCAGAGCATTTCGACCCTGCACCAAGCATCGCACCTGCCAGGACCTATGGCTTCCGGTCCGATGGAAACCGAAGCAACCATGGACTTCGGCTGGACCCAAGACGAGATTCAACAGATGAACCGCGACTACTACCAGGACGACTTGGAGTGGCGCCAGGCCAATGGAATTCCTCCTCGCGACCAGTGAGACCGATGCTCGAGCTGGAGACGAATCCTTGGAGGATACATCAGGCGGTGAAACCTGGTCAGGCTAAAATGATTTCGGATGCTTGGGAGCGTCATGAAAGAGACCGTCGCCTTGTGTCGCTCAGTGCCAAGGAAGTGAATGAAGTCTATGAGGAGCAGTGGCATCGAGCGATGGACCACTTCCAGAACGAGATCTTTGTCACCGCCCTCACCGTTGGCGATGAGAAGTCTTTTCAGTCCCATGCCATGTCTGAGAATAGGTTGATTTCAAAGAACCCCGACCTTGTTGAGAATGACCGCTTCCCCAAGACCTTTGTCACTGAGGTCTACACAAACACGGAGCGAGTTGTGCAGACGGCTCGCAAACGAGGACATCGAGTGGGAGCCTCAATGAGCTTGGAATCAGGATGGAACTTTCTCCGTCCACTGGATCGCAAAGCTGCCAGAGCCGTCCTGAAGCGTGAAAGTCCTTTCTTTTTGGTGCTGGCATTTCCTTGT